GGTTTAGGGTTTAGGGTTCTAAAAGCTCGAGACACCTGCCAACCCAAAACCCTCAAGATATCAACCCAATAAACCCTAAACCGTCGGCAGGTCGATCCTTTGCCAAGGTGTGAGGGACGTCGCCTGCCCACAAAAATCGATGAAATTTTGGAAAAAGGCTGCTCAAGAGCCTTGGTTTCTCCCCAACCCGGGCCTATAGGCTCGTAGGGTTTAGGNNAAGGTCTAGGGCTTTAGGGTTTTAGGGTCTAGCGTTTTGAGTTCAGGCGTTCAGGCTTTTGGTTGCAACGGCATGAGATCATGCCTCCCATCAGTGCAAGTGCTTATTTCTTCGCTGCTAACACATGCTCGATCTGGTTCTTGAGCAAACTACCACTACCACCAGCGGCCTCAGTTGCAGTTGCAATTTTCATTGCGCCAGTAATGCGGGATTTCTAGGTGCAGTGTCCTGTGGCCTTGCCACGTCCCTAAAAGACCCACAGTGCGTTGTTGCATGCAAATGGGGGTTTCCGAAAATAGGGGACCCTGATATAGTACCCTATATAGTAGGATCCTTGTTATAAGGACCCCAAAATAAGGTACCCTGTATTTTCGGAAACACCCAAATGGTCACGATTCCAAGGTTTGGATACTGCACCTAGTCATTCCCCATGCACGGATTCTTCCCCCCGGTGTGGTCCCGGTGGCTCATTGTGGTATCGGCAGGTACATCGCTTTTCGAGTTGTCAGCTGAATGCAGAGACAGAGCATTTCATGAATTCTGATCATTAAAACGTAATCGTCTTCATCACTGCCAACCTCACCACATCATGTCATTGTCGCCATCGTCGCCCTCTTCAGCATCAGCACCATCGTTACCATCATGGGTGTCGTTGGTTGCCACTGTTGCCATTGTTGTTCGATTGCTTCTCGCTCCACTTGCTGAATACATACAAAGTATTGGATCGCGGTAGCGGCGGGAGCTGGTAGTAAGATGTTTCAACATGGGCGGATGGGGTTGATTGTTATTAGCGCCCTTCGGCCTGTTTTCTGCAGTTGATTTAGCACCCGCCGTTGGTGGCTCATAGTGAGGAAGCTGGGACCACTCATGGGAGTAGCATGGTTGGGGCTTGATGATGACCTCAGGCTTCGAGGTCTCAAGAGCTCCCCCTGCTGCACGCCCCCAAGAAGCATCGTGGTCGCATGCGGTCTCGAGACCGCCCTTTTCGCGGCATTCAGAGCTCCTGAAGACAAGTGAGATGCAGTCGGCGAGACCTGGACTTGGTTACAAAACCCTAAAAAAGCCATCGAGGCATCTCACCGTCCGCATCAGGAGTTCTTTAGCAGCCCCGATATAAGCAATGTGGAGACATGGAATGGAGAAAGGGAGCAGAGGTGGATGGTAATGGCCGGCATCGGCAGGCAACATTAAAAGTTCTTGCCCTAACCCCCCAGGTACCTACTATATAGGGTACTAGAGCCCCCAGGGCCCTATATAGTAGGTAACTGGGGGGTCAGGGTTGTGCATGCCGGCCAAAGCACTTACGCACAGCATGGCTGGCATTCAAAAAATGTAACGTACCTCTCGACATTACCGAATCTGCTCCTGAATCTCCGAGCATTCGCCTTCGCCATAAAGGGCTAGGACCCGTGTCCTACGCCGCGGCAGAGGATGCAGGTGGGCCATTGCGCCGCGCCACCACCGAGTGTGAAGCCCCGGCCCGTGTTGAACACTTAGACTTACTTGGAGGTCCATGGGTAGTTATAAGAAGGGTTATAAGTAGGGTAACTGTAGTTATAACCCATATTAGGGGACTTATAACTCCACTTATAACTACCCATGAACCTCCAAGTAGACTTAGACGCTTAGGTGTAGCAACCCGAAGCCCTAAGCTCATCATCATGTGCATGGTCGCGGCAAACTCTTCCGTGCTATGTTTTGATCTTATTCGATGCAGGCGTAGCTTGTGGTCTACTTCGGGAGTTGAAGTAAAGTCTTCCGTCGCGTACTGTTTGCGGGCAGACCATGAGCACCTGGAGGTTCCCCCTAAACCCTAAACGGCGCTAAGCCCTAAACGGTACCAGAGAGGCATCAGTCAAGGGAGCATCAGATCGTCATAGACAGCCATTGGGCGAGGATCTGTAGTTTGTAGTTGTTGCTCCTGGCCCTAAACCCTATACAGTCCCTACCCCCATAAACCCTAACCCTAAACCCTAAACCCGAATCCTACAACCACCCGGGCTGCGTTGCCGCCGCATCTCGGAAGGGTGGAGCATTGCGATGTCCCTTGCAGGTCGACGCTGGGAGCGCAGAATCATAACGATTCTCTTATAACTCATATCTCTCTCTTTCTGTCTGTCTATATATATTTATATTCATACTATTCCTTTATAGTCCCTATCCCTATATCTTTATACATTCCCTTGTAGTCTTTTTAGTTTTTTTATAACTGATCTAGCCCAAGACCCTATGACTCATCAGGCGGTCCAGAATAGCTTCAGAAGGCTAAGGTCTTCAGCCTGGACTCAGTCCCCGTCCGTTTCTACGAAAGCGTGCACTCGATCCAACAGGTCTTAGATGTTTCGGCCATACATACACCATAGCTATCGAACTACCTATACCTATACATCTACTTATACCTATGCCTATACTTATGCCTATACCTATACTTATACCCATACCCTTACCTCTACCTGTACCTATACCTGTACCTACCTACCTGCATAACCCTAAACCCTAAATCCTAAAACCTAAACCCTAAACCCTAAACCCTAAACCCTACACCCTACGCGTTTCGTTTGGGAGATCTGGTGGAGCTCGCCCGGCCCAGCTCGGCCTGATCTTTTCCTCTTCATTTGCCTCTCGCAACGCCTCGGGATCCTTTGTTTGGGTACTAGAGCCCGCACGGCCCTATACAGTAGGTAACTAAGGGGTCAGGGTCAGGTATCAAAAGTCGTCTGAAAGTAAACGAGCCACTCATGAACCTAACTACCCCGGGATGTCGGCAGCACGAGTTCGACATTCTGTGTTTAGACGATGGAGCAGATATACGGAGTCGAGCTACCTCTTTGCAACTGTAATGGTTGACGGAGTTTACGCGTTACGGCTGTCTAGCTGTGGGCCTGGTCTTATTTCTGAAGTGGCAACCCTTCAGATGGCTGTGGCATGCTTGAAAGAATCAGTGACACAACTTCGGGTTGTATAAAGGCAGGTCGCCTGGGGTGATGGAACAGCTTGCCCGAACGACTCCAGCAATTGTCATGTGAAGAACATGAGCCCTCATTTTCCTGCATGTGAACAATCTGCACGGCAGCTCTGAAACCTAAAGAATAGCAACAGCTCAGAAGCAGCCAGGTGCGATAAGTACCGCAGCTGAAGTCGCGGATTTTCTTCAAGAATGTCGCAAGCAGGGAAAATCTATCACCACAATTGACGCTGTTCCGGATCACAAGTATGCTGAGGGTCCGTGAGTGCGGCGAGAGGCTTGTGAACTCACCTCGCTTACACCGTGAAGGAACAGACCGGAAATGAAAAAAAAACAGCGCGCTCTGGGAACCAGAGCCGATCATATAGAATATATGAGCAAACACTTGTGATACCTCATATTTATACGGTACAAAAATGTGGAGCATGCATACAATATACGGTACATATAGGGTATTAAAATTTTGCATATAGTACATAGTATATAGTGCATATAGAGTATATTGTATTGTCGTGTATTATTTTTGCGTGCCGGGTCCCTAGTAGCATGCCTCTTGGATTTAGTTTCGGGTGACAGAGCCTGGTGTGAAGTGTTAGGGCGAGCTGTCGGTGCATCTAAAATAAGACCACAGGGTAATGTAGGGGCCTGAATAATTAGAACAGGTCTTTGGGGGGTTCCTTACTATAGTTATAGTATGTTATACCCCCCAAATCCCTACTCCAACTATCAAGGCCCCTATATTACACAAGACGTGTCCTTCTATCTCTCTGTCAGCTAGAAGCCCGAAGCTCGGCCTTTTCCCCGCTACTTTGGTTCATGGCCGATCCTTGGCCAGGGGTCATAGAACACACCCGTGTGGATGACCCAAAACTTAGGAGGAGCCAACCGAGCTGTTCGAAACACCCCTCATTCTGCACCAGAGTGAAGCCCAACACCGAAAGCCAACAACGGCAAGTGAGGTCCTTCTGCGACTTCCTCTCCTACCCGGACACGGCCTCCAGGCTAAGGGAGGGCTAATGGAGACACAAGTAGGTCTGAACCCAGCAGGTGAACAGCTTTGTCTAGCGGCTGCCCTTGCGACCCTGCTTACAAACACCATGCACAGCCCTTTACGAAAATGTCGTCAAAGAATGCTGTGCCGTTTAGAAACGCTGGCACCCTAAACCTTATACCCTGAACCTTAAACCCTGTACCCTAAACCCTAAGCCCTAAGGAGAACGAGGAGGGACACGACGGCCTCGGGCTAGAATGAGTGTTTTAGGAAAATTAGTTTCCAATTTCGAACTGGGTTTTGGGCTGTATTGTAGTCTAATTACACAGGGACTATGTTCTGAGGGGATCGACCTGTTTCCTGCTTCGCAAACCAGGCTACATTATACTATAATGTATGCGGGCTGCAAGGGGAGTAGTCATGTCGATGATTATGATGAGGGTAGGCATGGCAGTGATTACACAAATGATGATGGCGATGATCAAGGTGGGGACGGAGGTGGCAACTGTGATGAGAAGATAACGGTGGTGAGGGTGCTTGTGATGATGAGGCTGGTGAGAAGGATGCTTGAAAGTATGGTGAACAGGCAGAACTGTCATGTTGAGTATCGGCAAAGCTTGAGTATGATGAAGCCTGACGACCACAACAAGTTTTACATGGAGCTCCTGGCACTCAGCGCCTGCTCGAAGGAGTGGCTGCGACATTTTCCGGTACCTGTTGCCCTTGGAGGACTTTCGAGTCTTTCTGGATGAAGAGGTCGTTCTCGTCTTGAATCGAAAGCTTTTTAGATTCATCCATCTACCAGGGTCCGTCAAGATCGGTAAAGGCGGAGTTCGCATGATGACGCATTCACATACATATACACATATGTACCAATACATACATACATACATACATACATACATACATACATACATACATACACACATACATAGATACACACACACACACACCCAGTCTGACTTGAGGGCCGAAACTTGGGGGCTCGTCTGCCGGAAAAAACTGTTGACAGTCGTCGGCGCGGAATCGTGCCGGCACAATACCGGCCCCATCTTGTCTCAACCGTACTACAGGCGCCTTAATAAGAATGGCATATTGCCTGAAGCATCAACGTAGCATTCTTTGTTGCAGAGGTCCTCAACCCTCAGCCCTAAATCTCATGCTCGGAAGTGGCAGGACTTGTTCGATGTGAGCCAAGGCAACCTTTGCGGAGTTCCTGGTGAGGCGGCAGAGCTTCTGTGCTTGTTTGAAACTTCTTGGACAACAGCTGCAAGAAACTTAGAAGTAACCTGCTGGGTGGGATATAAGTCCCTAAACCCGACACCCTAAACCCCATAGAAGCGGTTGCAACTACGATTTCCGTTGCAAGAACCGATGACCCTTCAAGGAGGCCTCTCCCGTCGAGGTGTTGTGGATTTCGAAGCCGTGGGAAGCCTCCCATAACAGGCTCAGTGTCCGCGTAGCATGTTATGATAGTATACTCCCCCAAACAGTAGTGTTACCAGCATGAAATGAGTAATATCCTAAGCCCAGGACCTGAAGAGTTGCTTAGACAAGGGCTGTTCTTGTAGAATGAGCTGCAGCTCTATCCGCCTGCCAAGTAACAGTAGCTCGAACTTCTCAGATTCCGATATGTGCACCTCCAGTTCCGGCAACGCGAATCGCCCTAGACCCCAAACCCTAAACCCTAGACCCTAAACCCTAAACCCTGATTTACTGGTCATTGGTCACAGGCGCGCGCGAAGATGGAGATCAAGGTTTGAGCAGAGCTCTTCTGCTCGAGCTGAGCAATCATGGATGCGTTCGCGATCTGTCGGCTTCCGGCATGAAAGGAAGACTGACCCAGGGTTTCCAGTGTCATACTCGGGGCCCCGTGAGGTTTAGGGTTTATGCAGGATGGTTTAGGGTTTAGGGTATCGCGATGTGTTTCTGTGATCGATCGAGACCGAGTCGAGTTGTTTAGGCCTCGAACTTAAGGGTGGTTGTCGGTACTATTAGGGCGAGGGTTGCTTTTAATCGTTGTAGTATGTCATACCCCAAACCCTATTCCAATTATTCAGGCCTCGCTACTAAACCCTTGTAGTAACCCTGGTGGAATCCTCTTCGAATTATTAAGGCCCCTACGTGACCATGGACCATGGGGGTTAGGGTTACCAGTTTTAGTCATAGATACCCCTAAACCTTAGTATAATTATTAAGGCCCCGATATGACCATTGGGGTTAGGGTTCATTTTTATAACTGTAGATGCCCCAAAAGCCTTTTCGAATGATTTAGACCCCTACATTGACCATCGTGGGTTAGGGTTCAGGTCGTCTGCGGCCCTTGGCCAAGCCCTCACCAGCAACTTAAGTCGTCGGTTTTTGGTTTAGGTTAAGGTTTGTTAGGGATTCGGGGTTTAGGGTTTAGGGTTCAGGTTGGTTCCGTATTTTTTCATGTCAAAATTGACGAGTATTTGCGAGTTCAGTTAGAGAAAGTCTTAGCTCACGAGCAATTTGTGGTCCAACACACTGGGCTTTGAGTCATTGTATTTCATGGCGCACCACTTCACCCAGAACTGCCTTGCCATCTCTAGCAGCGCCGCCGGGGGGTTCCTGCTCAGAGTACTATGCAGGGGGATAATGGCAATGTATCCGGACCAGAGCGGTAAAAGTCCCCCGGTATTTTGACCCAGACCACAGCTCCAGCCCTTTCGAAGTGCAGGACGTCTTAACGTTCCTGCATCTCAGCTAAGACAGTACATGTAGCTTGGACAAAACCTCTCCGAACAGGTCCCTGGAGTCCTGAACCCAGCCTCGAACAAGTTTAGCCTTACCGTGGCGGTAGATGTGCACAATTCGCCCTGCGCTGCAGTCGTTGCTAGATGTGCCCCTAAATGCGTCACGTCCATCCTGTGCTGACGCCGGCGCAGCCCCCGAAAGCCTCGCCAGGTGCCGGGGATTTTAGGGTTTAGGGTTTAGGGTTTAGGGTGAGGGGATGATGGTCTTTTCTGATGGCTGCTCTAGTGTCCCAAGAGTGTCTGTGTGGAGAGGCGGTGGGGATTTTTTCTGCGCAGACTTGACGCAGTCGTTCATCGCATGTAGGTGCCGCATATAGGACAGGGATTTTCTGAAGACTGGCGTGCTGTGAGTGCTCAATTGCGCCTCGAGTGACATACGGAAGGATATACCAGAAGCATGCTGTCACATTCACCCTGACACTGGAAGTTTTTATTAGATTAACTCATGGATTATTTAAAACTCTTGCTTTCGTCCCTTGCAGGTGCGAAAGCCGGCTACAAGCCGCCGGGTGCACCAGAGGATGAACACTTCGGTATCGACTTGGACATGGGCGAACAGTTTGAAGAGTGCTTGGAGATGACACCTTGCTTCCATTCGAAGTTTTGATGTTCCTGACTTCAAAGGATGGCACGGACATGTTTCAATATTAGTAGTATGTAGTGCAAGGCACGCCAAGCATGTGCTGCGACAGCTGTGTTTCGTCTCTTCGAGTCCTTAAGCCGAAGCCTGAAAAGGCCCTCGAAACCCGGCCCCTCCCTCCAAAAACAAAAATGACACGGACTTTACCGTAGCATCATGGCCTTTAATAAACGCCGAGGAAGTGGAAGTCCCCCGAACCGGTCCGGGAGTTCTACATCGAGATGGCTTCCCGGCTGGACTTGCTGCACGTGGTTCCAGCTCTTGTTACACAGACATGGGCGGGGCTCGAAGCTGCAGCTCCACCATCATAAGCAACCACGACATCAACAACGGCAGCAACAGCAACAGCAACACAAAAGATGACAACAGACAATATTGGCGACGAGGTGAAGAAGAATGACAAATAACAGTAAGAGGAACTTACCCCTACTACCACCGACTAGTACTCTTAGCGGTAGCACTAAGACCAGCACGACGACGACCGCGGCCACCTGTACCACCACCACCAACAACAACACCACCACCAACTGCTGCTGCTCCTGCTCCTGCTCCTGCTCCTGCTCCTGCTCCCGCTTCTATTATTATTATTATTATTACTACTACTACTACTACTACTACTACTACTACTGACTACTACTACTACTACTACTACTACTACTACTACTACTACTGCTGCTGCTTCTATTGCATTGTTGCGGAGTATGAAGCAGAAGGGTAGGTTGGCAGCCGTCTTCATCCAAATCATCAAAGTCGCAGCGTTAGTCGTATTTACGATGAGACTGGCAAGAACTGCAAAATGCATGAACCTGTCAAGGGCGCCAGCATCACATCTGTTTGTTAGTGCTCAGCGTGGAGCCAGCAGGTTATCGACCGGTCTGGGAAGGCGGTGAAGCCGGCCAAAGATGCCATGGTCAAGAAGGCCGCTTGGTCTTCAGAAACGGCGGTGAGAGTGCTTTGGACGTAGGCTTGTGGTTGTGCCTTGTTTCGTCTGGGCTTGCTTGCCAGCTGGTTCACTCGATCAAACTGGGCATCTGTCTCTCGAAGCCGAAGCAGCTGAGCAGCTGAGGTGAGCATGGGTCGCGACAAGGAAGGCTGCATTCAGAACATGCCCGAAGGAAGGAATTTCCTCGTGCGAGTTCTCGGCAAGCTGAACGATGGTAAAGCTGTGTACAGTCCGTGGAAGAAGGCTGCTACACTTAGCCCAGACACGCGAGACAAGGACCTGGGCAACTTAGACCCGATGAACATGCCGCGGATGAACTGCAATAACTGCCCATGCGCCTGCTACGTACCTTTCCGGTGGGGCCTCAACTCGCCTGGAAGGTTGCGGTGTAGGCGCTGTGGCTGCCATCACACAGAGCACCAGATGGTTGAGATTGGTGAGATCCTCAAAGCGCGGGAGACAAAGGCCAAGGGCTCCATGAACAGAGAGGCGGGCAGCTGAAAGAAATCCAAACCCCTAAGCCTTAGTTCCAATCGAATATGTTCAGAAGGGCAAGCTCCGAGATACTGAAGTCACAGACTTGAAATCGGCTGAGCCCACCGAAACGTTTTGCTCCATAGCCCAGGTGACGCCATTGCCCCACGAAGCCCTTGCTTCTTGGTCGCCAACACAAGCAGTCCTACTATTGGCCTATGAAAGCATGCGTATCCATAAACGCCTATATGTATCACACATGTACGTATGTATGTACGTACGTATGTATGTACCTATGTATATATGCATGTCAGCCTGTTTGCCTGCCTGTGTGCCTGTCTGCATGTCTGTCTGTCTATCGGTCTGCCTGCCTACCTCTCTATCGGTCTGCCTGCCTGCCAGCCTGCCTGCCTGGGCCTCTGTCTCTGTATTCACATGTTGTACAGCTATAGATACATATATATATATATAGATACATAGATAGATGTGTATACTGAGATTTGCACACAAGTGTGTGTGTCTATGTGTATGCATATATGCCATGTTTAGATTTCAGAGTTCCACTTTGTTCGTAGTCTCTCTTCACTGCGGCCAGCTTTCCCAAAGCTTAAACCTGAAACCCCCGCAACATTGCTGCTGCTTCACCACTGTTATCAACCTCCTCCTCCTCCTCCTCATCATCATCATCATCATCAACATCATCGTCCACCGCGTCATCACCATCATCATCATCATGATCATCAGCAGCATCTTTAGGGCTTAGGGTCTTTAGGGTCTTTAGGGTTTAGGGTTACCAGTGTTGTTTCGATTATCCGACCCGGACGCGTCTAGCCGAGGATTGGGACGAGCGGGAGTGCCTGCTGTGGTTCTGGTCCCAGGGCGCCGTGCATCCGAGAAACGTCCTGAAGGAGGCCAACAGCAGGCCCGACTTGCGGCCTGAGAGAGGTTGGTTTTGGGGTTTTAGGGTTTAGGGCTTTAGGGTTGAAGGGTTTTGGGGTTTTAGGGTTTAGGGCTTTAGGCTTGGAGGGTTTTGGGGTTTAGGGTTTTAGGGTGTAGGGTTTAGGATTGAAGCTTTTAGGGTTTCAGGGTTCAGGGTTCGACGCCTTTCGTGGGGCTTCTTGGGGTGCTTGGACGGATCGGAGCTCCTGGGCAAGAGGCTGCTGGCAGCAGTGAGTCAGTGAGGATGTCACCGAGGAAAGCAATAAGCTGAGGGTTTAGGGTTCAGGCTTGGGTTCAATTCAAGCTTGGCAAGGACAGCAGCAAGCTGAGCAACAGCAGCAAGAATGCGGAAATCGGAGGTAGAATAGAACAGCAGAACTCCGCATGGCGGCAGAGTGTCGCACGCCAGCAACCAATCGGAGTGAAAAGTGAATCGATGCCCTCAGACGCGCAATTCACTCATAACGATAATCGAAGGGTGCGAATAGGAGCAAAAGGAGATATATGCATCGCAACACTGATACGACGAATATTCCAAATAATATCAGGCACTCTGCGAATCACCTTGACGTGTTGATGACCAACGGCAAGTTAGACGTCAGAGATATCATACTCCTTCCTAAACCCTGAGCCCTGCAACACTCAACCCTGAAGCTGAAACCCATGCCACCTGGAAAGTCCCTCAACCCCTAAGCCCTAAACCCTAGGCCCTAAATCCTAAAACCCCTAAACCCTGAGCCCTAAACCCCGGGAACGTCCCCAAAACCCACAAGCCGGCTATTGCAGGTCCAAGCCGGGCTTGGCCAACGGCGGTGTCAAGGGCCGCGTTTCAATTGCCACACTGGCCGGTTTAGGGTTTAGAGTTTAGGGCTTTAGGGTTTAGGCCCTAGGGCTTAGGTCTCAAACCTAAACTCTAAATTTCTGAAGCCTGAGCCCTGAACTTACCCTATCCTTGCAGGTGTCAGGAGTTTAGGGTTGCGGGATTAGGTTCTTTAGATGTTTGTAGGCTTTCGGGTTGAGCTTGCCAAGCTAGGCAAGGCTGCTTCAGGGTTGCAGGTAAGCCCGCGCTGAAATAGATTGCACGAGCATGATAGGGTTTAGGGTTTAGGGTTTAGGGTTGGGGTTTAGGGTTTAGGGTTTAGGCGAGAGCAGGCTTGCAGATTTAGTCCCTGGAGGTTTTGCACGTAGAGGTTGCTTTGCCATGTGCGATATGTGCAACTGGGTTGCTGGATGCTATTCTTCGCAATCTTGGCACATTGCTTCGTTTCGTGTTGCTGCTCGTGTCGTTCTAAGTATGACTCCGCTTAGATTTCGATGACAAGAAGTCTATATGGCAGGCCTCCGTAACGTCCAGCCATGGACAAGGTACTGTTGCCCTTGGCGGCATCGTTGCAAGTCTACCTTCCGCCCTCATTACACTTCTTTCCCGCAGCCTCTTTCTCCTGCGCTCGTCTTTATGTCCAAGCATCCAGCGCTGCCCAGGGCCCAGCACAAGCTCTCGCTATGTCTTTCGTACAAGATGCAATGCTCAGTCTGTACGCCCCGAACCCTGAGCTGTAGCTCATTTACTGTAGCTTAAATGGGGGTTTCCGAAAATAGGGGACCCTAAAATAGTACCTTAAATACTGGTATCTTTATTATAAGGACCCCAAAACAAGGCACCCATAATTTTCGGAAACTCCCAAATCGAGTGAGTGCACCGCCATGATAGGTCACGCCCACGACGGAAACACGCCACAAGTTCCATGAGCAGCTATTCCGGTCCGGGGCCCTGGCCCTCAAAAGGGTTTAGGGCCTTGGGTGTAGCAGAGCACTGTACAACAAGAATGCTTGAGGCTTGAGGTCTACTTAACGGATCATGGGACTGAGTAACTGAGGTTATAAGGTTAGTATACTTCTCGTTACTTATAACCCCAATTAAGGTACTTATAACCTTACTTACTAAGTCCCAAGATCCTACAAGTAGGTGCTGGCTTTCGAGGTTTGGTGTCCTGCTGGGGTGTACGCCAGGAGATTTCAGATGCGTGCTCCGGGGTTCAAGGGCGCAGTGACTTTGGGTCGAGCACTTCGTTGTTGCCGTACTTGTGGCCCATAACTCGCAGTCATACCTGTTATTCATGATATAGTGCACTTACTGTACCCTCATAGTACCCTTATAGTAAGCTGATAACCCCGGCGTTGTTGAGCCCGTGATCTCGGGGAGAGGAAGTAGGTCCAAGTCGTGAAGCTGCAACATACTTTTCCCCAAACCTTGAAAATCTAAACCCTAAACCTAAAACCTATTCTTGCATTGAGGTGCTTTGAGGCGCAGACTTGGCCAGACAAGGACGCATACATGTGGAGTCGCACCACCGATGACGAATATCAACATCATGGCCGGGTGATACCGTAGAGTGTGGGGTTTAGGGCTGGGAATTTCATAGTCCCGCCAAGCATTACGCAAGTAGTAGTGGCTTCATGTATCTTCAGAAGTTCCATCTGATTGGCTCAAGGCAAAAACAGAACCAGTCATCATGATGTATCAGCACCAGCAACATCCTCATGATCATCATCGATACTGTTTTGGTGGCGATGGTGGTAGGAGGCAGCACTAGTAATCACTAGTAGTCGTCCTCGTCCTCGTCTTCGTCGTAGTGCTAGAAGTGGAAGCGTTGTTTCTAGATGCAATTCACTCAACCTTCTATCGCACTTGAGCCATCACCGGTATTGCAGTGAGGCCGACTGCCGTCGGTGTGGTGATTGTGCAGTTGCAATTAGGAGTACCCGCAGCTTCGTTTGCGTCACAGAAGAGCTGTTATACAACTCGCAGGAGCTTGTCATTGTGGAGACATACTGGGAGTCCTACTCTGACTTCTTCTCGCAGCGTTCAAGCTGCAAGAGGGGAGTCAAACATCCCATAACATCCCCAAACATGTTGATTTCCGCAAACCCTAAACCCCTAAACCCTAAATTCGATGTTGTTCAGCTGGCTGAGGATCATGGAAAGACTTTGCGTCGGTGAAGGTAGGATCTTCAAAGCTTGAGGGCAGGAGGCCTCCGGACTCGTGAGGACATCGAAGACCGGTGAGAGTCCCAGGGAGTCCTTTCAGTACATGGGAGTTTCAGAAAATTAGGGTACCTTATTTGGGGGTCCTTATAATAGGGATCCTATTATTTAGGGTACTATATTAGGGTCACCTATTTTCGGAACTCCCCACATGGGCCAACATCTCTGCACCTATAACATGTAGGGGGCGTCGGCCGACAGACTTATCCGTGTTCGCGTTTAACAGCTCCACCAAGGAAGGCACAGACTGATCCCAGAGTGGCGCAGCCGACCTGCTTGACAAAGAGGGCTTGGTGGCCAAAGTTAAAGTTCTTGCAGTCGAAGATTCGATCATGGAGACGCATCTTTCATACTGGAGAGTGGGCACAAACTAGGTGTTTTGGACACGCAAGAAAGCGCAAATCATCAGCGTTGAGATCAGCTTCGTGCAGTGTCACTACATCGTCATCAACGAGTTCATGCAACTCGTGCTCATCATCCCCAGCATCATGACCATCACCGTGATTATTGTCAGTCATCTGGGTCATTGGGGTCGTCACTGTCGAGGTCATGATGATTGACGATGATGATGATGATGATGATGATGATGATTTTGATAGTGACAATCATGGCAAGGGCGGCTTGCACCATCACTACCATCGTCGCCTGTATTCTCATCCGCACAACTACAGCCACTTCAAGCTTCATCTCCACCTTTACCACCATCCTCGTGACCATCACCATCGTCTTTCTAGTCGTATTATTTTGCACATCATCATCTTTGTCAGCAGCATCACGGTCAGCATCATCAGCATAACTTCTTTAGCCTCAGCTATTATGTCGCACGCGCAAACATCTTCATTTGGCGCCTCATCGACTTATTCTTACTGTTTCTGCTTCTTCATGGCAGGTATCAGCCCAATATTGTCTCTGTGGACGTTTTAGCAGCATGAACTCAAGTGCTGTCGGCTGGAAGGCTTTCAGAACGGGGCAAGGGCTCTTTTTTGAAGAGCAGCACACACGGATTTGTCTCAGAAAATGTCTTTCATGAGGACCGACACTGCTCATGTGACTCTCACTGGACGGGGCAGCCGTGTTTGCCCGGAGCTCTTCTTTAACTCAGGTTGTTGTATGCCTCAGACAGTCTGGGATCCCTGACGTTAGCGTCACCTCTTGCGGTACGTCGCTCTTCTATGACCTGTTTCAAACGAGCTTGACCGAAAGCTCCCCCTGGCCGAGACTTAGACTTCGAGCCTTGACCCGGTGCCTGGCACTCGGGCCCCTGCGAGCTTGACAGGTCTATGTCAAGTACAAGCAGCAGGCCCGATCGGACTGGAGCATCGGACTCAAGAGGCCCAGCACGGTTCAGCATTTTGGGGTTCCTTAAGGGGTCCTTTAAGGGATCTATAGGTTTAGGGTTCCTTCAGGATTCCTTAAAGGGATCTATAGGTTTTTGGGTTCCGGGTGGGCAGGGACGTGGAAACGAGGTTTTGCAGGCATCCAAAGGGGTGTTTCAGCAGCCGAGCGACGCCAGGAATGTGGGAACGCACCTTGCTTCCGGCGAGTTCATTGCAAGCTTCGACGACGACGATCTTTACGTCTTCGGCTCAGCTGGATCTAGCTGCGGGACGTTGACTTTCCTTGGCATCCACACACCGCATTGCAAAGTTTCCATGCTCGACTCGACCTCTGTATTGTTAAAGCACGTTCTGTGCGAAGCATTGGCTGAACGATGATGGAGCTCAAACTTCTTGATAATCGAAAGCCCAGTAGTTGCTGAAGCCAATGCTCCGTCGTTGCATTCTTCTTTGTCACCAGGCACCCAGCTACCTCAACACGATGGTGAGTGCTCTGGAGGATCGGCGGGCGCCGTGGTGGCAAAAATTGCTGCAGATTCTGGAGCCACCATGAAGGCTTAGGATTCCGGCTTAGGGTTGAGGGTCCATGGTTTAGGATTCCGGTTTAGGGTTGAGGGTCCATGGGTTTAGGATTCCGGTTTAGGGTTTAGGGTCCAGGTTCAGGATTCCGGTTTAGGGTTTAGGGTCCAGGTTTAGGATTCCGGTTTAGGGAAAAGGGTCCAGGTTTAGGATTTCGGTTCAGGGTTTAGGGTCCATGGGTTTAGGATTCCGGTTTAGGCTTTAGGGTCCAGGTTTAGGATTCCGGTTTAGGGTTTAGGGTCCAGGTTTAGGATTCCGGTTTAGGGTTTAGGGTCCATGGGGCGACATGAGAATATTAAACCGAGATGGCTTCTTTCGACATCTTCAGAGACTTGCCCGATGATACCTCAGTTCCCGGTACATGAGAGGCGTCTGTGACAAGGTGGTCATCACAAATTTAACCCTAAACCCTAAACCACCCTAAACAGGAATTCTGTCTGTTATGCAGGTGGAAAAGGGTCCACAAAAAAAAATGCTAAACATGGAAAACCTTGCCCTTGCCGACGACTCTGTTCACCCTGAGCCCTCGAGGCATTGGCCGTGAAACTCTCCAACTGGCCACTCCGATGCGCTGTGGTCGTTCCGGTGTATTAAATAGGGCCTAAATAATTACGTACCAATACTGTTTTGGGGGTTCCTTATTGTGATTATAGTATAGTATACCCCAAAACTCCAAAACCTTATTCTCAAAACCTTACTCTAATTATTAAGGCCCCTATATTAGATCCATTTGACCCAGAACCTTCTGGCACTGCCGCTTCGGGGGAACCTTCAAGCTTTGCTGCAGAGCTGGCTGAGACTGTAAGAGGGCGACCCCAGGCCCTAAACCCTAAAGAATGAGACCGCGCTCCGCTCACTTCGCTCAGGTACGTGTACCACATGGACTCCGACGCTTGGTCCTTTTGCGACCCCATTGCCTGGGGTCTCACCAAGGGGCTGGATGAGACCTCTGACAAGGCGCCAGTCGAATTGCGGGTTTAGGGTTTAGGGGTTTAGGGGTTTAGGGTTTAGGGGGTTAGGGTTCAGGGGTTTAGGGTTTAGGGTCATGGCTTCAGGGTGTAGGGCTGGAAGACTTGTGAAGTTTCATGGCCACTTCAGCTTTTTTGCAGTTTCTTCCCCTCCATGAGCCTCCCAGCATTGTGGATGTCATCTAATTACACCCCAAACTCCGAACCCTAAACCCTGACCGGGAGCCCACACCCAAAGAGCCTGCGTACTCCAGCCTTGCCCTTGTTGAAGCTCGAGGTAAAGAGTTGGGCCTATGGCTACGGCTTCTCCTACGTCTATCGCCGGCAGGCGGATCCCAAGTTCTTGTTTTGCTAACGAGGAATTAGCTCTACACCTGAATTTCAAGACCAGTCTCTGAGCATGAAAGGCCCTCGCACTTGCCCTGTTCTGGCTTGCAAGCGGAGTCTAGTCAACTCCATGATGCGACCAAATGACAGCGAACAAGTACTATAGGGGCCTATATAATTACCTGTACTATTCTGGGGGCTCCTTATTATAATCATGGTATATTATGATCCGAAACCCTATTCTAACTATTAAAGCTCCTGTATTAGTTACTATATAAGTCCCATCACCCTGTAAGTAAACCCCACGCCCTGCAAGAAGTTTTCCATAAAACGTCGGTGCAACTGCCATCAGGGTCTTAAAGCGTCGGGACGTAAGACCTATTAATATAGGAGCCTTTACCACTAGAATAGGGTTTTGGTGCCCCTTTTACTATACTTAGAATAAAGAACCCCCCCCCCGGTTGATGATATAAACCCTGCACTGCCCGTAATAGGGAATATGCCATAAATTCCCATAGCTTAGGGTCCTTCAGGTAATGCAAGATTTATATCATCAACCCATAAGCCCTAAACCCCAAACCCTCAACCCTAAACCCCCAAACCCTAAACCCTAAGCCCTAAGCCCTAAGGTAATGCAGGGTTCATACATGGGTAGTTTTCTAAATTAGGGTGCCTTCTAGGGTCCTTTTTATAAAGGTGCCGTACTATATTGGGGACCTAAAAGGGGGCCCTAATTTGGAGAACTAATCGCACCCCTATAGAAACCCTAAACACTAAACCCTAAACCCTAAACCCCAAACCCTAAACCCTAAACCCCTAAACCCTAAACCCTAAACCCTAAACCCTAAACCCTAGACCCTAAACCCATTCCCCCATTCCCTACTAAGCACGAGACAGGAGTTCAAAGGAAGCCGAGGCCGAGGCCGAAAAGGGGGGGGGACCCTTTACACGGTTCTAGGGTTCCTCAGTAAGACTTGTTGATGCAAGTCAATAAGTAGGGTTTAGGGTTTAGGGTTTGGGGTTTGGGGTTTAGGGTTTAGGGTTTAGGGTTTAGGGTTTAGGGTTTAGGGTTTAGGGAGTCCCAGGCCATTTGGGCGAAGGTAAGGCTCATAGGCACTCGCCAACCTTTGATTAGTGCTTAGGGGTACAGTGCAACTGAGTCCAGCTGTACAGATAGCAGGCGTAAGGGGACACTGCAGAATACCCCTGACCATTCAGGTGCAATCCCCCACTGTCAGTTGTCACATTACCGATGCTAGAACTCTAAGTTCCCTGCCCGACAATCATATCGGGGCCTCAATAATTAGAATAGGGCTTGGGGGTATATCATA